TGGTTTGTTTGTTTTCTTATTGAGGAGCTTTTAAAGTTCTTTGTGTATTTGGGGTAAAAGTCCTTTATCAGATGTGTCTTTTGCAAATATTTTCTCCCAGTCTGTGGTTTGCTTTTTAATTTCTCTTGACAGTGTCTCTTGCAGAGCTGACATTTTTAATCTTTTTTTGATGTAAAATCAATTGTGTTTATTTATTTATTTTTGCATTTCTTTTTTTATTTTTTATTGTTATGTTAATCACCATATTTTACATCATTAGTTTTTGATGTAGTGTTCCATGATTCATTGTTTGTGCATAACACCCAGTGCTCCACGCAGAACGTGCCCTCTTTAATACCCATCACCAGGCTAACCCATCCCCCTACCCTCCTCCCCTCTAGAAACCTCAGTTTGTTTTTCAGAGTCCATTGTCTCTCATGGTTCGTCTCCCCGTCTGACTTACTCCCCTTCATTCTTCCCCTCCTGCTGTCTTCTTCTTTTTTTTTCTTAACATATATTGCATTATTTGTTTCAGAAGTACAGATCTGTGATTCAACGGTCTTGCACAATTCACAGTGCTCACCATAGCACATACCCTCCCCAATGTCTATCACCCAGCCACCCCATCCCTTCCACCCCCCACCACTCCAGCAACCCTCAGTTTGTTTCCTGAGATTAAGAATTCCTCATATCAGTGAGGTCATATGATACATGTCTTTCTCTGATTGACTTATTTCACTCAAGCTGACATTTTTAATCTTAATGAAGTCCAGCTTCTTAATTCTTTCTTTTATGGATCCCGCCTTTGTTGTTGTATCTAAAAAGCCATCACCAACTCCAAGGTCATCTAGATTTCCTCCTATGTTATCTTCTAGGAGTTTTATAGTTTTGCATTTTACAGTTAAGTCTGTGATCCCTTTTGAGTTATTTTTGTGACAGCTATAAAGTTTGTGTCTAGATGGATATTTTTTTACATGTGGATGTCTAATTATTCCAGCACCATTTGTTGAAAAGACTTTTTCTCCATTGTACTGCCTTTTCTCCTTTGTCAAAAATCAAAAGACTGTATTTATGTGGATCTATTTCTGGGCTGTCTGTTCCCTTCCATTGATCTATTTGTCTATTCTTTCACCCATACCACACTGTCTTGATTACTGTAGCTTTATAGGAAGTCTTGATATCGGGTAATGTCAGTGCTCCAACTTTGACTTCTCCTTCAGTGTTGTTAGCTATTCCGAATCTTCATATAAACTTTGGAATCTGTTTGCTGATACCCACCAAATAACTTGCTGGATTTTGATTGGGATTTTATTGACTCTATGGGTCAGGTTGGGGAAAACTGACATCTTGACAATATTGAGTCTTCCTATTTGTGAATATGAAATAGTTCTCCATTTATTTAGTTCTTCTTTGATTTCTGTCATTAGGGTTTTGTAGTTTTCTTCGTATGGACCTTGTACATATTTTGCTAGATTTATACCTAAATATTTTATTGTGGGGGGCCACTGATGTAACTAGTATTGTATTTTTAATTTCAAGTTCCACTTGTTCATTCCTGGTGTCTAAGAAAGCATTTGACTTTTTGGGGGGTTGGAAGGAGAGGTTGGGGGAAGGGCAGAGGGAAAGGGAGGGAATCTTAAGCAGGCTCCATGCCCAACCCCATGGGGGCTTCCTCTCACAAACCTGAGATCATGACCTGAGCCAAAATCAAGAGTCTAACATTTAACCAACCGAGCCAAACAGGTGCCCCAAAGCATTTGACTTTAAAATATTAACCTTGTATCCTGAAACTTTGTTATAATCATTTATTAGTTCCAGGAAGTTTTTTTGTGTCAATTCCTTAGGATTTTCTACAGACATCATGCCATCTGCAACACAGACCATTTTATTTTTTCCTTCCCAATCCGAATAAAGAATCATCTGCCCAATCTGTGTAAGAAAACCAAGGACCAGAGAAGTAATGGAAATTGCCTAAAATCAGAGCCTGGCGGAAGCAAGGTAGAGGGCTCTGGAAACAGGGCTCCAGACAGGCGGAGGCCCAATTGGGATGGTCTTTGAAAGGCCAAGGAATCTGGCAGTGGTGGATATGGATATCGCAGGCTTCTGGTGAGGACTTCAGGGTAGGAGATAGCAGGGCAACCTGCCCGGGATCCCCAGCTTCCTCCCCCGGGGCCTCCTTCTCCACCACCACCCACCTCAAAGGGCCCACTCTGCACCCTCAAAGTCTCCCCAGTACCAGTTCTCGGGCACAACGGAATGTACTCCAGCCTCCTCCTGAAGGAGTAGCCTTGTGCGGGAACGGACCCTAGCACGGGGCTCCTGCCGAAGACCGGACACTCGGTTTGGCGACCCCCGCGAGGCGCCTCGGCGGGGCACTGAGGACCTTGCCGGTTCCTCGGAATCCGCACCCTCTAACCCCAGTTACTGAAGTCCCATTCACACTCGGGTGCGAGGACGCAGAAGCCCCTTCGAGCGGGGGGCCAACCCAGCGGACTAGGGATCAGCGCCAACGCAGCCAGAACTGCGCGCGCCCCGCGCCCGGGGCACACCAGGTGCAGGAGCGCAGCGCCCACACTGTGCCACTGAGCCGAGGGAGGCGGGCTGGGGACCCCAGGGCGGAGTCGAGCGCGGGGCGGGGCGCACCCGGCCGGGTCCGAGGCGCCGTGCTCAACAGCAGGGGCGGAGCGCCAACTCCAGCGGGAAGACAGAGACCGCAACGCGCGGGGGAAGCGCGCCCGAGCAAGGAAGAAAGCAGGACAACCCGTACGCAGCGCCACGGCACGCGCAAGTTGGGGTCCCCCAGGACCCAACCGAGCGGCCAGGGCAGCGGAGCGAGCCGGGAGGAGGCGCCCAGGCAGGTAAGGTGCTGAGCTCTGCGCAGTCCGGGTCCTCCCTTGGTGCGGTGGGGGGCGTCGCCCGGGCTGGCAGCGCTGACGCCCACTTCTCTCTCGAGGGGATTCCGGTGGCTTTGCCTCCCGCACCTTTCGGGAGGCACTCGGGCTGGCTCCAAGTAGAGGAGTTCGAGCCGGGAGAGTCCGCCACCCACCACGGGCCCGTCAGGACCCGGCGACGGGAAGCCGGGACTGGGGCGCGCGGGCGCGGGCGGAGGGGCGGAGGGGGCCGGGCCGGCGGGTGCTGGGCCGGCGGGCGAGCTCCAAACTGTAGGGGAGGGCATGGGCGGGGGGCGTCTTGTTGAAAGGTAAGCTGAAAAGGGAAGCCTCTCCGGGAGAATTCCCGGCTCACCGGATCCTGCCCCTACCCACAGTTTTCTTCTCGTCCGGAGGCCCCTCACGCTTCGCTTTTTGAGCCTGAATTTCTGACTCGATTCCCGCCCTTGCGGGGCGGCGCCGGCAGTGAGTAAGAGAGGGCAGGGGAGGGGAGAGGACTCCCGGATCGGGTTGGTCTGGGGCAGGGAGTGCATCCCGCGAAAAATGGGGCCGGGACCTGCGCCACCCAGTCTCACGTTCTCTCCTCTAGGGTCTGGGGACTGGAGAGCCGCGCAGCGCGGAAAGGCGAGAGGACGCGAGTCCTGCTTCCCGGTCTCCGGCTGAGCGCCGTCTGCGGGGATCCGGGCTTCGCGGGAGAGGGAGAAGCCACCCGAACGGAGGAACTCATCTGTCGGAGGTCTATCCCTCGGGTGCGCAGCGGGCGGACGCGCCGCAGGTCGGAGTGGCCCGGCCACCCCGCTTCTGCTGTCCCAGCTGCTACGGTTCCTGTCCCTCGCTCTCCGCCTCCTCTGACGGGGCCGGGCCAAACCCACTGTCCTGTTTGGTCCACTTCTTGCTACTAGCATCCCGTGGCCCCCACACTTGGGGTCGTTTCCAGTTGTGTTAAGCGGGCAGAGGCGAGTCACAGCTCCGTGGCTGGGGTCCTCATTTTGCGGGTTTGGGGATGCGGGGGGTTCTGAGGCCCTCTGACGCCTTGAATCCAATGATGTCCCCTCAGTACTTCAGAGAATTTATTTTCCTTTGCCGTGGGCATCTTGAGGTACTGAGAACATAAAGGACTCAGGCAATGAGGGATAGTTCAGCCCTCAGACCCTCCCGGGTCCTCACTGATACCACCTTACCCCCGCCCTACCCGCCATTCTTGGGGGCTGTTTTCGGTTAAAATGGAGCGGCCACCACTTTCAGAGGATGGACACCTTGGTGACAGGATGTGGTGCCTCCCAGTTAGGGCTGGTTCTGGTGGGCAACCGGGTGGGGTCTGGTGAAGGGGACAGGGAGCTGATCAGAAGAGTGGGAGCAGGGAGGAGACACAGACAAAGCATTTCTTTTTAGATCTGGTTTCCAAAGCCCAGAGGAGTAGCAGCAGCATTCCATCCGATCCACAGCCCCCTTCACCTACACAATCCTGGGCAGATCCTCATTCATTCATTCATCCCACAGACTCCTGTCCCGTCCCTACTACGAGCCAGGCCCTGGGCTAGGCAGCAGGAATTTGGTTTACAGGAAGATCGGGACTCAGACAGTATAACTCACTGGCCCAAGATGACTCAGCCTGTTCATGTGAAAATGGGTTTGGTGATTTCCACGTCCGAGGTTTGGCCAGGACAGAGGGAGCAGTGCCCTGCTTTAGAGGAAAGACCTGGCTGTGTCTCAGTCCTCTGGCTTCAGTGTCCTTGACCAACAGATGGCGCAACTTTGTGACTGCTGTGGAAGCCTGGGCCAGCGGCCTGGAGCAGGCTTGTGAAACTTTGAGAAGACCCTGCAGGAGTTGATGGTGGGGAAGGGGAATGTGACTGGGCAGGCACGCAGATCCTGGCCCCTGGGAAAAGGGCAAAGATGCAGGTTCTTCTTGGATGTCTTTGGAGAGTCCAATTCATCCTTTGCCCAGGACCGCCGGACGGCCCATGGAAGATTTCCCAATTTTCAGATTTCTTGTCTCCTTTCCCCTGTACCCCCGGGGTAGTTCTGTCTGAGGGGAGTCACTGGGTCTGGTTGGCCTATACTTGGGGAACCCTGGGAGAATACTCCCAGGCATCCTCCTGCAGAGTGCCCACTGGTTGTGTCTCCTTCCAGGGTCCGGGATGGCACGCTGACTCTCCTCAGGGATGTGGGCAGGGTGCTGGGCTGGGTGAGTCGTGACAGCAGAAGGTCTGGACCCCCAACTCAGCCCGCTGAGACCCCCACACCACTCCACCTGCAGTCTTCGCCATGGCAGCCCAGATTGGAAACGCTAGTTTTGCACCCAACTTCAGTCCGGCTCAAGACCATACCTCCCCCGTCCCCTTCAATTTCAGCTACGGTGACTATGACCTCCCTCTGGACGAGGGTGAGGACATGACCAAGACCCGGACCTTCTTCGCTGCCAAGATCGTCATCGGTGTGGCACTGGCAGGCATCATGCTGGTCTGCGGCGTTGGCAACTTCATCTTTATTGCTGCGCTTGCCCGCTATAAGAAGCTTCGCAACCTCACCAACCTGCTCATCGCCAACCTGGCCATCTCCGACTTCCTGGTGGCCATCATCTGCTGCCCCTTCGAGATGGACTACTACGTGGTGCGCCAGCTCTCCTGGGAGCATGGCCACGTGCTCTGTGCCTCTGTCAACTACCTGCGGACCGTCTCACTCTACGTCTCCACCAATGCCCTGCTGGCCATCGCTATCGACAGGTGAGGATGATGTGGGCCAGGGCGGGGGGTGGATAAAGACGGGGGCCGAGCCAGGCTGTCCCTTCCCTCACTTCAGCTCTGACACGTTGGCGCTGCTGCAGATCTGCGTGCCGCTCATCTATCCGGGGCAAGAGGAGACCCGGTGTCTCCACTTGTGGCTCAGGTTCCCCCCAGACATGGGCAAGAGCGAGACACCTGAGCCCCCCAGCTCTGGGCCATACCTGCAGATACGACATCTGCCGTGGATAGGCATGCCACCTGACTGCGAGGAGCCCCAAACACAAAAGCCAAAAGCAGAAAGATTGGGCAGCTTATTACTTAGAAGCCACGGCAGACTTCACCAGGGCAACTTCCGGTCAAGAGAACACGTCCCAAGTTTTTCCTGCCACCATTCCCCAAATCAAGATCTAGAACGTTTCCCACTCCCTTATGCCCTGCACCAGTCAGTCCTCCCACCCCACCCGTCTGATTTCACTCAGCACAATTTAGTGTTGCCTGTTTAACTTCATAAAAACGGAGTCCTACAGTAATGTACCCTTGTTCCTGGTGGCTTTGTTGTAGAGCTGATTTTAAAATAAGGTAAGGGCCTATTTGTAGAAAAGAGAGAAGGACATCCTTCCCTTTGTTTTCTTGCATACATCCATGTGCTCATTTGCATACATTTGCATGAGATGTTCTAGAAGTCCTTGCTCTATTATAAATTTACAAAATTTATAAAATTTCTAGTAGCAGCTTATGACAAATCTTACACATTTTAATTATGTAAACAGCTATAAGCGAGTGTCAGACCACCAGTGGCTCTGTTCCAGGGGGGCAGTTGGTGAAACATCCTCTGGGTCCACGGAATGCTGAAACTCATTTTGATGACGTGTCTTTTAAAATATCTTTCTTCTTTTTGGTCTCCTTTGAATTCATCAGTTTTTTCCTTGTTCTTGGTGCTATTTAGGTTTGTCATTCTTTTTAATCAGCCAGTTGATTATTTTCCATAATGAAATACACACAGAGGTAGAAGAATCATCATCTTTTTGTAACATAATTCCAGCAGGAAAAACCATTTTGTTATTACAGCTCTGAGGCTCTCCCGCCCTAACACCAGTGTTTATAAAATGCAACTGTCAACCAACTGTACAGAATTGCCCAGGGCAAATGATACAAAGTCAGATCCCTCAGCCCCACCCCAGCCCTACTGAATAAGAATCCCTTGAGCTCAGTCCCAGGAATCTGCATTTTTATTCAATTCCCTGAGGGATTCTGATGCTCACGCAAGGGAGAGTTATCACTGTTCTCATTCCCCTTTGTCGCACTGAAACCTTTGTCTTTATCAGGCTGGGGAGTTTTGGGCAACATAGGACTTTCTTAGGAAGCAACCATCCAGTTACAACACAAAGAATGGTTCCTTTTTCACCCCGAACCAGCTTCCCGGCTCCAGTCCACCAAGTCACCCAGGCTGAAAACATTACCACCATTCTTCTTTTTTTTTAAGTTTTTATTTGAATTCCAGTTAGTTAACATACAGTGGAATCGTAGTTTCAGGTGTACAATATAATGATTCAACAGTTCCATACAACACCTGGTGCTCATCACAACAAGTGCATGCCCTAATCCCCATCACCTGTTTCTCCCATCCCCCCCAGCCTCCTCCCCTCCGGTAACCACCAGTTTGTTCGTTGTTAAGACTCTGTTTCTTGGTTTGATTCTTTTTTCCCCCTTTGCTCATTTGTTTCTTAAATTCCATGTGTGAGTGAAATCAGATGGTGTTTGTCTTTCTCTGACGGACTTATTTCGCTTAGTATAATTCCCTCTAGCTCCATCCATGTCATTGCAAATGGCAAGATTTCATTCTTTTTTTATAGCTGAGTAATATTCCAGTGTGTGTGTGTGTGTGCGCGCGTGCGCAATATATGCTAATATATATATATACACACACACACTCACACACCACATCTTCTTTATCCATTCATCAATTGATGGACACTTGGGCTGTTTCCATCATTTGGCTATTGTGAATAATGCTGCTATAAATACAGGGGTGTGTTTATCCCTTTGAATTAGTGTTTATGTATTCTTTGGGTAAATACCCAGTAGTGGGATTGCTGGATCATAGGGTAGTTCTCTTTTTAACTTTTGAGGAGTCTCCATACTGTTTTTCACAGTGGCAGAACCAGTGTACATTTTCACCAACGGTGCATAAAGGCTCCTTTTTCTCCACATCTTCACCAACACCTGTTGTTTCTTGTGTTTTTGATTTTAGCCATTCTGTCAGGTGTGAGGTGATATCTCATTGTGATTTTGCTTTGCATTTCCCTGATGATGAGTGACGTTGAGCATCTTTTCATGTGTCTGTTGGCCATCTGTATGTCTTCTTTGGAGATATGTCTGCTCATGTCTTCTACCCATTTTTTAATTGGATTATTTGTTGTTTCAGTGTTGAGTTTGATAAGTTCTTTATATGATTTGGATACTAACCCTTTATTGGATATGTCATTTGCAAATATCTTCTCCCATTCCAAAGGATGCCTTTTAGTTTTGTTGATTGTTTCCTTTGCTGTGCAAAAGCTTTTTATTTTGATGTAGTCCCAAAGGTTTATTTTTGCTTTTGTTTCCCTTGCCTCAGGAGACCTATCTAGAAAAATGTTGCTATGGCCGATGTCAGAGAGATTACTGCCTGTGCTGTCTTCTAGGACTTTTTATGGTTTCAGGTCTCACACTTAGGTCTTTAATCCATTTTAAATGTATTTTTGTGTATGGTGTAAGAAAGTGGTCTGGTTTCATTCTTTTGCATGTAGCTGACCACTGGAGCGCGGGAAGCAGAGCCTGAGATGCGAAGGGGAGGGCTGTTCTGGAAATGCTGTGCGGCTAGTCAAGAGGACTCTGGAAGCAGAACTAATTCAGGACTCTCTCTCTCTCTCTCTTTCTCTCTTTCCTTCTGCCCCCCCTCCTCCAGTATAATTCCAGCATGAAGAGTATCTCGATAACCAATGCCAAAGAGAATTTCTATATTCCTACCTCTATTCGGATCAATTCTTAAATTCTAATATTTTCTCATCCCATAACATCTTCCTCATTATAAAAGATATCCCAAAATGCAGAGTTGACATCAAATAAATGAGAAAAGAAGGAACATTGGCCTAAGAGTTACTCAGAACATCTGGGTTCCCAGCTGTACACTTGGATAAATCCCTTATGCTCCTGGGACTTAAGTGTCCTCATCTGTGAAATGGGCATAATAATAACTTTGCTGACAACCTCTCCAGCTTCTTATCAGGTTCAGAGAAGGGAGACAGACATAAAGTATGTTGGAGGCTATAGGTCTTTGTTAAAACTGATCGTTTTCCATGACTTGTCCATTGGCAAGAGGGACATCTGCAAGGTCATTGTTACCATCTCTCTGCTTGGACGTGTGTGTCCCAAGATCCACACTCTCCTAGGGTCTCTATGAAACCAGGTCCTCTGCACATGAACCTCGCTCTTCTTCTGACTGTGGCATCCAGAAATGCTAGTAGATAGCCCTTCTGATATCTCTACATAGTAGGACAGGCATGTTTTACCAAGGAGTAAACTGAAGTGCCCAGGGAGGCCTGTGTCTCTCCCACTCACCTGTGTCGGGGTTTGTAGGTTTATTTAATTGAGTGTGAAGTGGTCCTTATGCTCAATATTCAATACCAGTGTCATCACAACGGAAGTGAGAGTTTGGCCATCCATCTTTCTTGTCGTTTTGCCTTATTTTTCAATTGGTTTAGAAACCTGAGTGCTATTTATTAAGCTCTTGTGTTATAAAGTCTGAAATTTCATGTGCTGTTTTGACATCTTTGAACACCACAGGGCCCCCAAGGTCCCTAGCCATGAGGTCCTCTGTTCTTGGCAGATACACCACTCCACCCAGCAGGAAAGTCTCCTGGCCTGTTATTCCTATCTCTGCTGGACCAGCTGCACCCCTAATCCTCAATCTGATGGGTTTCCCCCCTCCCCACCAGCTGGGAAAATTATTCAAACAAGCCAATCACATCCTCCCATGGGAGTCAAGGGTCACTTCATCCTCTTGTCACCATAAAGCCTGCTTCCCACAGCCCCTGCTGGTTCATTCTATCCCTGAGTGCAACTCCCACATGTTCCTACATAGTGGGCACTGTCCCTCCCCCTGGGCTGTGAGTGTATGTGACTAGTTAACTGCTGTTGGTCTCATCTGCCCAGTGTCAGGTCTTGTGTGTTCACTCATCTCGTACTATTTAGGTCAGGAGAGTCCCACCTTCATCAACAGGGTGAATAGGAGGTGGCCAGAATCTCAATATCTTTGTGAAGCATTCCCAGACTACATCACTGACATAATGACTGTGTCTTCCTTCAAGTTCTTAACCTATCACTTGATTATTCTAGTTTTTGGGTAGAAGAGAAGCTCTCTGAGGTCAAGGACTGTGTCTTCTACTTTGTTTCCATATACATAGGTTGGGCACACAGCAGGACCAGCAACCTATTGTGCATTTACCAGATTGTAGCAGATGCAATCGATGCCCCTCTCATATCCCCTTATTACTATCACTTCAGTGCACATCTGTCCACTGCCACTTGCCAACACCTGCTTTTCTTTGTCTGAAGGCCATCTCTGGCTCCCTCACCAATGACTTTGATGGTTGGTGTATCAATATCCCGACTCCCTCCCACTCCTGGGTGAACCACATCTGCTCCAGGGGTTCTTCAGCAGGAATAAGCATCAGCTGCCTACAGTGAAGCCTTGCTCAATAACACAGCCTGTATTGACTGCCTTCCCATGCCTACCCCACAAAGGGCTCCAGCCTCTTTCCCCGGCACTGTTGCTCACTGGAAAGAGCAGGATAAAGCCTCATGCTATGTTACGGCTGTATGATGTCAAGGCAGCTTCACACACCTCATCTGAGCTTGAGACAGCCCAGGAAGGTGGGTGTAAAAGCTTTGTATCAGGAGCCTGCATTCTGGTCCCTGCACTCAATGGGATTGGTCACGTCTTTTACTTCTCTCATTAGATAGATTCCTTAGATTCCACACCAAGCCCAACCCCTGTTCTCTTTCCTGCTCTGTAATACAGGATGACACCTGGGGGGGTGGAGAAAGAGAAAGCCCTAATCCATTGCCCTGAGAAGCTCTCTCTGAGCTCCAGAGCCCTTCTTTCCCCTCTGACCCATGAGATATTTGGAATGAAGAGTTTTGAAAGGATTAGGTTCTTGGGCAGAATGACAAGATGGAAAGCCAAGGTGGTATCCACAGGACTAACAATAATAATGCCATGTATATTTATTGAACACCTACTGCATGTGAAGCATTTTACAGACATTATCATATTAAATACTTACAGCAGCCCCTCAAGGTAGGTGTCACTTTATCCCATATTGCATTTGAAGAAACAAATCTCAGAAAGGCTGAGTGATTGACTCCAGAGCCCAAAGCCAATCAGGGGGCAAAGCTGGGATCTGTTGCTCCTGTTTGACCAAAGCCTGTGCAGTTTCCACTAAATACAGACTACTCCAGATGCCAAATGATGTTGCTAAAATAATATGAAGGCTGTTGAAGCTGGATAATTACACAGACTCGTTGTGCCACTCTGTCTGCTTTTGCAGTGTGTTTGGGCTTAGTTCCAGGAATGTTTCCCAGCACACCTCATTATTACTGATGGCTCTCCTCCCCACCCCACCCCCGCCCAGATATCTCGCCATCGTTCACCCCTTGAAACCACGGATGAACTATCAAACGGCCTCCTTCCTGATCGCTTTGGTCTGGGTGGTGTCCATCCTCATCGCCATCCCGTCGGCCTACTTCACCACGGAGACGGTCCTGTTCATCGTCAAAAGCCACGAGAAGATCTTCTGCGGCCAGATCTGGCCGGTGGACCAGCAGCTCTACTACAAGTCCTACTTCCTGTTCATCTTCGGCGTGGAGTTCGTGGGCCCCGTGGTGACCATGACCCTGTGCTATGCCAGGGTCTCCCGCGAGCTCTGGTTCAAGGCGGTGCCGGGCTTCCAGACTGAGCAGATCCGGAAGAGGCTGCGCTGCCGCAGGAAGACAGTGCTGGTGCTCATGTGCATCCTCACAGCCTACGTGCTATGCTGGGCGCCCTTCTACGGCTTTACCATTGTGCGCGACTTCTTCCCCGCCGTATTCATCAAGGAGAAGCACTACCTCACGGCCTTCTACGTGGTCGAGTGCATCGCTATGAGCAATAGCATGATCAACACCGTGTGCTTCGTGACCGTCAAGAACAACACCATGAAGTACTTCAAGAGGATGATGTGGCTCCACTGGCGGCCTGTGCACCACGGGAGCAAGTCCAGTGCTGACCTGGACCTCAAAACCAGCGGCATGCCAGCCACGGAAGAGGTGGACTGTATCAGGCTGAAATAACCCGCTGGCGTCCGGAAAGCCCAGAAGCCGGAACTCTGCACATACTCCATCGGTAGCCAAGTTCATGCTGGGCTGCCCGGGGAAGGATAGCTGTGTTCCATGCCTCACAGCCCTCAAGGGGCAGGAGGCTGCTCGGTTCTGACATGCGTTGAGACTCGAGACAGGTAACAGCAACTGAGATTGACCGAACAGCTACTGTGTGCTGGCCGCACCAAGGAGATCCGACAAGGCCCCCATTACCTACTGTGGGCCGAAATTAAATAACAAGACAAAATGGCAGAAGTTGTTGGAATCACCAAGCTAGGGCCAGTCAGGGGCCTCAGATGGTTATCTGCACTCACTCTCCATCTCCCTACCTGCATTCTGCATCTCATCAGGGCAGGAACATCAAAAGTCTATAGAATAAACCACTTAGCCATGACCAAACATAAGGATGAGTTCATCAGAGTGTGTGGGGTTTATAGCCTTGTGGGAAGAGGGTTCATGCCATCCCATTGAACTTTCCCACTCCATTCGTACTACCTCCCTAAAGATATTCTCTAGGATTCTGGCTGTGAGAAAAACAATTTTCTCATAACCAGGCCATTGGTTAGCTACAATGGTGTAAATTCAAAGGAAAGGACCAAAAAAATCTCTTTTCCACTGATGCTTGCAAGCTCATCATGCTTTTGGGTGAAGACATGCAGTCCTGAAATAAGGAACACACCCAGTCTCTGATACCTTAGTGTAAAGGCTTTCTGGGCTTTTAAGGTCTGGGAGGAAGGAGACAGAGAAAGGGGTGGAGCTTGTCACTGGCGATGAACACAATCTATGTGGCGAAGGTCTGGGTCACTTTCTAGGACAAATCTCTTTTGAGAACAAACGAAATGAGCTCTACTTGGAAAGGAAAGGCCTGGGTTTTCAAGACTTAATTCTAAGATTTATGTGACTGGCTGCTTATTCTCTCTGCTTCTTGGTTTTGCTTCAGCCAAACAAGGATGATGAAAACACTTGTGCTGTCTCCCTTACAGGACTCTTGGGAGAGCCCACGGGGGCCATAGTTGGTGAAAGTGCTTTTTAACTCTACCAGTGATAAGAATGAAGAAGTGATATTGAACAGTTTGGATAAGGGAAACCCCATCCACTGTAACTTAATGTGAACAAACATTCCCAATTTTTCATTCCTGTTTTTCGGACCAGAGACCCCAGAACTCTTCACAGTGCAGCCTATCCTCCTGGGGCAAAAAAAGGAACCCCTGTCCTGGGTTAAAATGTGGAAGATTTAACCTCAGAATTTCAGTGACACCCGCCCCTCCCCGCCAACCTCCTCAGAAGTGTTGGCGATCTTCCCTGCATGTTGTTAAGCAGCACAGCCCTGGACTGCATATGTTTGTATTATTTTACATCTGTGGTGATTGTGTATATATGTCTTCAGTTCTTCCTTGGTCCTTTTGAAGCAGAGACTACAAATGGCCCGTGTTTTGGGATTGACCCATCCGCATTGGGATAACTCCTACTTTTCTCTAGAGAAAGGGTCATTGGGTTGTTTGCTTGTTTCTTAATTAATGGTTTGTTTACCCAACAGTGAAGCTTCAACCAACATTTTCTTTTGTCACCACCCAGCACACTCACCTTCAGCCCAATCACTGTACCTCAGAAAATGCAAACTGACTTTAATATTAGCTTAAACCAAATGGTTTGTAAATTCTGTGTTTACAAAAATTACATAATGCATTTTAAAGCCAATCAACTAAGTATTTGGGGTTATCTGCTTTTCTTACAGATATAACTGTGCTTTCATTTATTACCCCCATCCTGACTCTTCTCCTAATCAAAAGATTATTTTAAGAGTAGACTGGGCACCAATTGTGTCTGGCAAAAGAATTCAGACCCTTTTTCCTCTTTATCCTAAAATGTACCATCCTCCTTTAATTTAAATTTAACTGAAACAGCTTTTGTAAATATCAGTGCGTATTTGTGATTTTCCAGTGAATAAGTGTTATGTTGCTATCCAATTAAATAATCAACATATGGAATCTTAACCACAGTGTTCAAACGTTTTCCCCACTAATCTTTTATATATGTTCATATATTTCGATATAAACAGTTAATATGTTTAGATATAAACCTAAACAGTTCAACCCTGAAACAGAGAAGAAACTTGTTGAAGGCTATTTAGAACAGTGGCAGCTTATGCCAGCATCCAGCCTCCCGTTGGTTACATGCATGCAAAAACTACTCTGTGCCTGTGTTACCCCTTCGTTTTCAAATTGTCTTGTTTGTGTAATGCATACTGGTGTTTGCATGGAGATTGTCCATTCACCTAACTGGTGTTAAAGTAATAAATAATAAATTAATTGCATTTGTATTTATTCTTCTCAAGACTAATTGATGATAAGCTTAAGATACTTTTAATGAGCTCAGCTATGTCAACATTTATACATACTATCATATATTGAAAATTTAAACCAGGTCCATTTCTTTGGCCAGAAAAAGAGAAAAGATGGCTTTGTGATGAAGCTAATAGAGGTTTTTCTTTCAGCATCCAATATCCAAATAAGTTGATTCTCAACCTAAAGAAATCAAAAGATGGCTTTGAGGTCTCAGGCACAAAAACCAATTCTAGACTTATGAGAGAGAATGTGACATGTGGGAAGTGATTAGAAAACTTAAAAGAGTTCTATTTCTAGGGGGAAATGATGGCTTTGAAATGCATCTCTTCAATTTAACCATTATTCTCCCTTGGGCTCAAGAAGACACACACACACACACACACACACACACACACACACACACAAGCAGGAAATGACCTTTTAAGGGTATATGATTCAACTTACTCCTTGCTTAGGTAAGGAGATCTAAATTCCAAATGAAGAAAAGACTTGCTTAAGGACACACAGTGAACACTCGTTGGACCCAAAATATTGCCCCAAGGTCTAACTCTGGTCCAGAGAACTGACTGCACTCAGTCACTGTATGCAGAGCCCAAAGGAGATGACCTTCTCTAAGAATGTTTAAAGGGCCATTTAAACTGGTTTCTGACCTCCTGGGAGAATCTTAAATTGCTCAAAAGATACCTTCCCTCCCTCTAGCAAGGAAAGAGTGTATCCCATCCATGTGACTCCAGGATTCCAGAGAAACCAAAGAGAATTACACCACCGCCCCTCTAGTGCTCCTGTGTTTCTTTTCCCTACGAGAGAGGGAGGTCTGAACACATTGATTTGAAGGTACATGGAGCTATTTGGAAATGATGCTAGAGCATGAAGGAAAGCTGATCGTGATGAGAGGTGACCCTGACCCAGATAGTGGGAGAACGGGCTCATATTCAAAGACAAAGCAAGTCTAGGGCCCCCAAGACAGAGCGTGCAATCTTCACCTAAGTCACTACTAGCTGGCCCTGAGTAGGGGTCATTCTTCATGCTTCCCAAGAACCAAATGCCATCTGGTCACCAAGTCGGCCTCCCTCCTGAGGTATGCCAGCCAGGCACACATTACCTCCTGGACTTGCTTGCACCACCTATTCCTGTACAGATGTTCAAAGAGCTCCAAATATGGGACAGTTTCTCCAAGAGAGAAACTGGTATGAGAACAAATGTGTTTGGCACTTTCTTCAGATAGAACACTGGTGGCAGGCAAGGGATTCATTGGAACTTAGAATAAGTAATCGCTGGACAGGGCAATAGGCAGGAGGTTGGCCTCCAAGAAGCAGGAAGGTCAGTTCTTGGGACAGAAGGCCATGTAGACACAGGGTCCTTGCATCCTTTTACTGACTTTTCCTTTTTTTTTTTTTTCCTATTACTGACTCTTATACTGAATTTCCACAGATGAGTCACAGGCTGATATGAAAGAGGTCATTCCCAGTATCTTGTTTAATCTTGTTTAATCATGTTAATCCCAGCTCTGGATCCAACACAGTTCTTTGGCTGAACTCTGCTTTAGGGATGGTCCACTATGTGCAGACAAGGGTCTTCCATCCACTCATCCGTGTCTTGTGCTAACTGCTAGCGAGGAACAACGGTGATGGAGATGCAAGCCTGAATCCTGAGGTAACTCTTGAAATAACATATGGCTAGGGGTGGCTCAGTCATTAAGCATCTGCCTTTGGCTCAGGTCATGATCCCAGGGTCCTGGGATCGAGCCCCACATCAGTCTCCCTGCTCAGCAAGGAGCCTTCTTCTCTCTCTGCCCCTCCCCCTGCTCATGCACTCTCTCTCTCTTTCTCTCTCTCCCAAATAAATAAAATCTTTTTTTTAAAAAAAAGATTTTATTTATTTATTTGACAGAGACACAAGAGAGGGAACATAAGCAGGGGGAGTGGGAGAGGGAGAAGCCAGCTTCCCACCGAGCAGGGAGCCGGATGTGGGGACTCGATCCCAGGACCCTGGGATCATGACCTGAGCCGAAGGCAGACACAACAACTGAGCCACCCAGGTGCCCCCAAATAAATAAAATCTTTAAAAAAAAAAGAGGGGCGCCTGGGTGGCTCAGTTGGTTAAGCGACTGCCTTCGGCTCAGGTCATGATCCTGGAGTCCCGGGATCGAGTCTCACATCGGGCTCCCTGCTCAAAGGGAGTCTGCTTCTCCCTCTGACCCTCTTCCCTCTCGTGCTCTCTAACTCTCATTCTCTCTCTCTCTCAAATAAATAAATAAAATCTTAAAAAAAAAAAAAAGAAAGAAAGAACATGTGGCTAATTCTGTATTGAAATGGAGACACTGTAAACAAAAATGAAATTCAGAAGACAATTTCCCTTCAGCCATGGGGATCAGAGAAGGTTTGGGGTGGTGAGGTAGTTAGGCAGAGCCCTGGACCATAGTGAATGGTTGGGGGAGGGCATCCCAAGCAAACGGGCCATGATGAACAACAATGTAGAAGAGGGGAAATGTGATGGGATACACATGGAATGATGAATTGTTTGGTTGGCACAAAGAATGCCGAGTGTTTAAAGGGAGAACAGACTTGGGCAGCAGGCTGAAGAGCAGGATGAAGAAAGAGGCCAGGGGATAGAGATGGCCTGAAAGAGCCTGGGATACACAATCATACAGAATCAGCTTCAAACAGTAATTCCTGCTTAACCGTGTGCATTTGGAAGATACTTTACCCCTTATCCAGGCCTTAGTTCCTTATGTATTAAATGGGAGTAATAA